TGTGTGTGTGTGTGTGTGTGTGTGTGTGTGTGTGTGTGTGTCTCTCATGATGTGCCTGTGGAGGTTAGAGAGGCGGCCCACAGAAGCTGGTCCTTCCTTTCAGCACACGTCCCAGAGATTGAGCTCAGGTAATGAGGTGTAGTATTGCTTTTACCTGCTGAGCCATCTTGGTGGCCCAGAATTCTTTTTTTTTTCCTAACTAATTCTTGTGGCCAGGCATGGAGGCACCTGCCTGTAATCTCAGCACTCAGGTGGCAGCGTCAAGGAAATGAGTGCAAGTTTGAGGCCAATCAGGGATCTCTAGCTAACAGCATGGTAGACAGGCTACATAGTGAGGCCTTGTCTCAAAAGAAAAGAAAAATGAAGTAGCTGTTGTGATCTTCAAGGGAAAGATGTTTGGCAAAGCTTGAAGTTTTAACCATAAATAAATAAATAAATAATGTTAAACATCTTGGTCTAAAGTAGTCAGTACTGACTGGACTTGGTGGGTTATTAAAGAAAGACATGAAGTTGGGAGGGGGTGTGTCGAGTGGGCTATGGGGGACTTGAAGAAGGGAAATGATATATATGATCATATTTCCTGTATGCATGAATGAAATGCTCGATAGTAATTTTTTTTTTTTTTTAAATCCTGGTCTAAAGATTTGGAGAACGAGAAACTCAAAACAGGGCCAGCAGTGGTGGCACACACCTTTAATCCCAGCACTCGGGAGGCAGAGGCAGGGGGATCTCTGTGAGTTCGAGGCCAGCCTGGTCTACAGAGAAAGAGAGAGTTCCAGGACAGGCAGGGCTACATAGTGAGACCTTGTTTCAAACAAATGAACAAAGAAACCAAAAAAAGAAAAAGAAAGAAAAGAAAGTTCAAAACACAGACCTTTTACCAAGAACACTGTGTAAACCAAACCCTGAGGGTGCTTGAGACGTGTGAGTGCTACGGTGTGTGCTCGCGCAGCACACAGACCTCCTCCTGCACTAGGGTTTAACCCGCCTCTGGGTTGCTCGTACCTGATCGCGCATGCCGTATGGACCGCCACCATGTGGTGGTGTAGACACGATGGCACAGGTCTGCATTTAAACCAGATGCAGGCTGTTTTCACAAATGATTTTCAGTTCACAGTTGGTAGAATCCAGATTTCATTTCCTGTCTCCTGCCCTGTCGCAGTACGAGCAGGTTGAGGGGTCTCTAGGGAAGTTTGGGGTGCAGTACAGAGCTGAGACAGGCCTGTGTGGGGAAGCTTGAAGCTCTGTGTTCTGTCACTAGGTAGGGGTCCTGCTGCCTGGGGTTTCCAGAGGCTCTCAACAAAAGGTGAGGCTGGCCAAGGTTCACCATTCTCTTCATCAGAGTCCACTCTTATTTCTCTCCAGAGCATCTTTAACAGCCTTCCCTGGTCAGAGTAAATGTCCCCTGTACACACACACGCACGCACGCACGCACGCACGCACGCGCCTGCACTCTATGTAAGAATCTTTCTTTGCTGATTGCTTAGCCTAGCTTATGTCCTTGCTTACAGGTCTGGGCTCAAGCAGAGGGGTCTGTGGACCAATAGCATCATCAATTGCCTCAGGCGCAAGTAAGAAATGCAGAAACCCAAGGGCTGGGAGATGGCCCGGTAGAAAAGCATGAAGGCTGAAGTTTGATCCCTTAACCCACACAAAAAGGCAGGTTTAAGAGTACCTGGATGCAATAGTTCTGGGGAGGTTGGCCTAGGATGATCTCGGACTCACTGGGCAGTCAGTCAAGTTGAATCAGAGTTAGTTCCAGGTTCTGTGGGACCCTGTTTCGACAATGAAGGTAGGTAGTGACTAAGGAAGATACCCAGTGTTGACCTCTAGGCACTATACACAAGCACACACAGACAGACACAAACACACACACATGTACTCGCACATACACACAAAGAGGAGTACAGAACCCTGACTCCTGGCAGATGTACTGAATTTGATTCCTGTTTTAACAAAGTCCCAGTGTGTTTCATAGGCACACTGCTGTTTGAAGAGCCTCAACTTCATGTCTTCTGAATAATTTGATACTGACAAGGATTTGAACCACGTACCATTTCATTTTTATGTGAATGAATGTTTTACCTGTATGTATGTACATGCACCATGTATGTGACTAGGGCCCATGGAGGTCGGAGGAGGGGATTGGTTTCTGTGGAGAATGAAAGGGGCATCGCCCAGCACATTCAGAAGTGTGGGAGCCCGTTCTGGGGTTCCTCGTGGCTTTACCCAGCAGGTCCGAATAGAGGATAATCAGGACCACGGGCCTGAGTGCAGGTGTCTGAGATGGCCTGCACTTGGCTGTGCTGGGGGAGGAGGTCTTTTGCTCCACCCCTTGGCGTCTCTATAAAAACCCTGGGGCAGAGACAGTCGGGGCTCGTTGGAATAGGTTCCAGGCCCTCTCGAGGCTATCCTTTATTTTCTATCTGTTTATCTCCTCAAGATTCTCCACTATAAATCCTTCTATCTAATATTTCCTGCTGATTGCACTCAAGAAAACTCTGGGGAACTGTGGGGGTGGTGGGTAAATGCCCCACACAGGAGGGTTGCGATTTCTACACTGCAGTATGCCACAATCTTGTTTGAATTCTACTGAGTGGTCAGAATCCTGCTTCATGCCTGGTGTCTTCCCTTTGTTTCAGACACACCGGTGGCTTCACCAGGAGGGCCGGACTTTCTTCCCTGACCTTGTACTTAGATTCTTTGGAGAAGAGTGATTGGAGGGGTAGGGTTTTCTTCCTGCCTATCTTCCTTCCACCCACATTGACTTTCTTCCTTCCTTCCTTTCTTTCTTTCTTTCTTTCTTTCTTTCTTTCTTTCTTTCTTTCTTTCTTTCTTTCTTTCTTTCTTTCTTTCTTTCTTTCTCTTTTT